TTTTTTTTTTTTTTTTTTTTGAGGTTTTTAATATATACGGGAAATTTAAAAACAAGATATTGAAATAAGCAGCCGGATAAGATTCCATCTTTTTCTCTACATTATATGGATGTTCTTGTATATGACTTTAATTTAGTGTTCCGGATTTCGAAAACGCTATATTGATGTCATTTTCGTTGTTTGATTTTTTTTCTCTCTTTGGAAATGATAACTAAACTTTAGCCTAAATTCTAAATATTAATTATATAAAAGAAATCGATATTTAAATAAATAATAAATTTTTAAAATATTTTTAATAAAATTAGTCAAAAGTCAACCAACAGATACTAAATTTTATAAAGATAGAAATAAATAAATATTTTATACTTCCAAATATATACCACAAAATCAAACAAACAGAAAATAATAATAATAATAATAAAACACAACTGAAAAAAACATTCCAAACACATAAAAAGAATTTTGTTTTTCTTGGAATATCAGGACAAGCAAAATATATATTTATATTCTTCTGAAAAAAGAATCTGACAAATAAAATATATAAATTTCACAATTTTCTTTAAAAAAAAGAAATTAAGGGTTAAGTTAATAAAATTATAATTTCAAAATTTATTAATTAGGTAAATATATTAATAAAAAGTGGAATTTTCTTAGGTTAAAAAAAACTTAATATTCATGGTGAATTGATTTTTAGTTTGAGATGTCATGAAAATGGTTCTAAAAACATAATAATTAAGAAATACTTAGGGGAGATTTAAAGTTCAATAGATAGTGTCCAAATCGTTACGCCTTTCGTACAGGTCGAAACTTATCCGATAAGGAATTTCACTACCTTAAGACCGTTATATAGTTACGACTACCGTTTACCAACAGGGCTTTGGTCGCCAACTCCCCTGCCATCAGGTCACCAACTTCCTTGATCTTTCGAAGCACTGGGTAGGCGTCAACCCCATACATAGTCTTAAGATTTTGCGGAGACCTATGTTTTTAGTAAACAATCGCTCATGTCGAGTCACTGCAACCGCCTTTCTGAGAAGGCACCCTTTCTCCCAAACTTTGAGTTCTTTAGAGAGAGTTTTTGTAGCTTCTAGGTGTCGGTTTCCTTCCCTCTCTTAAACGCAATTCAAGATAAGTAGATAACGTAGTCATGTCGTAGAAATACAGATGAAATGATCGAGGTTTAGGACAATAGCAATAGCATACATTTTTGGGGAAGGTTAGTATTGTAAGGTAGTGTTTGGGCATATTGAGGTTGTATAATTTAAGTGGAACGAATAGGCCCCCACCACTCTACCTCACTCCTCACTACCTCCCGACACTTTTTTGGACTACAAATACCCATCCTTCACCCTTCACCATTCACCATTCACCTTCTCGCTTATCCATCTTCTTCTCTTTCCCTCTCTCTCTCTGAAATCCCCAAATTCAAACCTCCACTCTCCAATGGCGACAATGGTCTGTCATCGGAGCCTTCAACCATGTGTAGACTCTCAATTCATCGAGACTACCTGGCCTCACATCAAATTCAAATCTCAAATCCCTCCGCCTTTTGAATTCGCCGCTTTCAAATCCTGTTTTCTCGATCTCGATTCTTCCAAATCCCTAAACCAATGCGACGATGTTAATCACATTCTTTCTAATTACCACAACGCTACTAACTCTCTTCTTCCTCTTCCTCCTTCCGATGCTCCGAAGAAATCCGACGACGTCGTCCGCCGTGAAGCCAAATCTCCAATGGCGACCAAGGAATTAGAATCCGCCTACGTTCATCCGCTCGTCAAGCGCTCTCGTTCTACTCTGAGCGATAAGAGCTTGGCGCTCTGTACTGAAAATTTAGGCAACGAGACTGGAGCGGATTTTCTCGAGGAGGACGCTGTTTTCTCCGATCTGAAAATCGAGCGATCTTCGACGAGGAAGCGAGTGAAATCGGATAATCAAGGTAACAAGAAACTATTTCCACCGCCTCTAACGACAATCGCCGGCGAGGATTCGATTCGAGTACGGTCGTATCGCGAAGACGGAAGGTTGATAATGCAGGCGGTGAAGGCTCCGTCGAGGCTCTCGTATTTCCATGCCGAACGAAGCCAGGGCCGCCTTCGACTGAGCATTTTGAAAAGTAGTACTCCCAAAGCTGACTCCAATGAAGAAAGTACGGAAAAGGAAGTTGAAATTAACACACCAAACGACGACGTTGAAGCGGTGGGCAAGAAAAGTAATTATGAGGAAAATACGAGGAGGAAAGTGGAAGAAAATGGAAATCTCAGAGGGGCGGAAATGGAAATAGAAAAACTTGAGATGATGCCATGCAAGGCCAAACAGGCGGGTAAAAATCATAATATTGACGAAAATAAAAACCATACCGAAATGTTATTATTTACTCGGGAGGCCCTCTCCATTTGGGTCTGTACTTCTTAATTAAAAATTAATATTAATTTTTAATTTTTGGATCATACTTATTTAATCCTTCTCCAACTCTCTCTCTCTCTAATCCTTTTAATCATCCATTTCCAACCAATTAATTTCATGTCCCCTTCACCCAACACTAAAATTAATTAAATTACAAGTTACACCCCCGACTCTCTACTTTTGTTTCTACCTCATATTTCAATTACCTTCGATCGGGTCACTCCCCAAGGGGTAAACGAACGCATTTCTTATAAAAATGTGAAAAATCTTTCTCTAACAGACCTGTTTTAAAAGCCTTAAGAAGAAGGAAAAACCTAAATAGAACAATATTTATTACTGGTAGGATTGAGATGTTACAAATGGTATCAGAGCTCGACACCGGGTGATATGGCATCGAGGATGATGTTGGGTCTCCAAAGGGGGTGGATTGTGAGAACCCATATCGATTAGGTCTGTCATCGCAGATACTAGGTCCCCAAGAAGGGTGAATTATGAGATCCCACGTCGATTGGAGAGGGTAACGAAAAATTTCTTACCCTAACGGACGCGTTTTAAAAATTGCAAAGTTGCCGGGAATATGAAACAAACTAAAGCGGACAATATAGGTATAGTGATGGGCTTCGAGACAAAGTGAGGATCTAGAGAGAGTCAAGGTCATGGATAATTTCTATATTCAATCCCATTTAACTAACAGGAAGAAATCTCTTTATCACTCGAACAAAAGTAGATTAATATAAGTTGAATGACCGACCCAAAGTATTAGGGCAAGGCGGAAAAAGGAAGAAGGAAGGACAGACCCGTACAGATTGAGGGATGCAAGTAGGTGTGTGTCAGTGTGAAAACAAGGATTAATAGGTCTCTGGTTAGGGTACTGCAACCATCTGGACTCATCCAACTTTTAAACGTAATATTAAGTGGCCCTATCTGTCTCAGCGTGTGGGACGCCGGATAGGGATGTGAGGGATGTAAAAATGATAGCGGGGAATTAAAGGGCACATGCATTATACCTATCCTTTCTAACAACAACGACCAAAAGTGCAACTTGGAGTAGAGTGCCCTTACACACCACATGCCCTTTCCTCTCACCGAGGTGGAGCTCCTTCTGCCTTTCAATGCCCTACCCCCTCCCACAACCCTCACCCGCGCACATCCACTCCCGCTCCATCCCTATCGATATCTACACATATATGTATAGCGATATTAATATAGTTGTCTGTATTTACGTACGTAAAAGTTAATATCTTCTTTTGTTTTCTAGGTTCTGTTCGAGAATGATGGTCGTATGTCCACGTACTAGTCGTACCTACCATTTCTTTTTTTGGGGTCAATATCAATAGCGTCGTACATTCGAGGATCAACTTAATCCGAGGTTTGATTTTTATTTTTACCCTTTTTTTATAATTGAAAAGTATACTCGCTTTAGAAGAAAAAAAAATCACATTTATTTTTTTTTTAGCTTTTAATTACTAAAATCATAATTAAAAAAAAAAATAGTTGGTTTTTTTTTATTTCTTTAATTTTTTTTAATTAAAACATAAATAAAAGAAAATATTAATGGTAGACTTATCTTATTATATAAAACAAAATTATCATCAAACGTGATAAATATAAATTTGTGTGTATGTATGACTAAGTGAATGATGTAAACCGTTCGAAAAAGATACTCGATATCGATTGAAATAGCATATATTATATTGCAAAAAAAAAAATTGTTAAATTCTAAGTTTTATCCTAAAATTTTGAGAAAATTATAATTTGATCCCTATATTTTGATAAAATTCTATAATTGGATAGAATTATAACCTTCTAAATTATAAAAACCCTAGTTACCGAAATTAAAACATATTTTAAAAATGACAACGAACATAATAATGAATTTCAATAAAAAAATTTAAAGATACGGATAAGATTTGTTTTAAAATTGGTAAAAAAAAATGGCCTCTTAAAAATATGTCACAATCACTGTTTAAATATAAGGCTCTAACTAAGACTTAGATAAAGCTTATTAAAGTAGCTAATTTACCCCGTGCTAACTTTTTCTCTTCAATCGAGCGCGATTGCTACTAGACAATTGGTTGCGTCATGGTCTCAAAACGGATGTTTTTTTACTTTCTTAAGATAGTGCGAAAGGTCTTTTAAGGTCGTTTCGCATCCCCCGACTCAACATCGAAGTAGTTTTGTGTGCGGCTATTATCTTGTCGTGTGTGAGCTGCCTACGAGAATTAGACTCCTTCCCCCTTCCAAACTACGAATAAGATCACTCCAAAATTGATGACATATGTTCTTCTTGACACTGTCTGTCTTGACCCTCTCCTCCTTTAATCAATTAGTAAAAAGGCAAACTTTGGCCGACTAGAAAGCAAACCCACCTTAAGTTGTGACAACTTTCTATTACGGATAAGTATATAAGAAATTAAAATACTTCGTAATGAAGGTTTCTAGATCCACTTGTATGGTCAAAGCATGTGTCGAATTTGATTTGATTATAAAAAACCATATATTAAATTTATGACCTAAGAAATATGTGACGTTTTTGATGAATTATATTAAATTTGATTTGATGTGATGCATGCAATTTGTTACGTAAAATAATTAAAATAGAAATATATTTAACCAAAAAAGGCGAAACCAAAAAAAAAAAAAAAAATTGCTGGGGGATGCCACGTAGACAGGCAAACCAAGAAAACGATGTCGTTTAGCTTAAAAAAAACTCCATTACCCCGAAAGTTTCCGTCCATTGCAATCCCATCCAAAGCCCATTTTATTTGATCTAATCAACAGGGAGAGCGTGGAGCCAATAAGACTGCTCCACGTGTATAATAATTCATTAGGGAAAAAGCTTGAGAGGCATGATATGAAAAGAAGAAACAAAAAAGGAGTTGCTTTGATTTGGTGTTGGATATTTTTTTAGAATTAATTGACAAAAAAATTTAAAAAGTTTGAATTTTTTCTTTTACTCTTCTTTTTGTTCTTTGCTTGGTTGTTAAGTACTTGGATGTTACGTTTCGTATGACGTTCGGTTCAAACCATTAAAAAAGTGAGTTCCATTACCTAATTTCTTTCTATGATTCAACGTACGGTTCAATCCATGTTGCATTAGATATAGACTATTATTTGAACTGAAGAAGAAGTGATCGAGAATGTTATTTTGTGAAATTCTACATTAGTTAGAGAGGTAAACGAATAGGATGTGGAAACTTCTCTCGAACATACGTGTTTTAGGGGGAAACCCAGAGAAAAAAAAAATCCAAAGAAAACAATATCTACTAAGAGCTTGGGTCCTTACAAATTTCTCTACCGGGAAATAGAGGGAGAGAGAGGAGAGAAAAACACGTGCCCCACTCCTTGATTTGGAAGGGGAGAGACGAGATTCAATACTTTTCATTGGGCGAGAGGTGTAGCTATTTGCTCATTAATCACAGTGTTTAGCTGACTTGCACTAATAGATCCTTGTTGTTATGGGAATTAGACGCCCATTTGTTTATTGTTGTCAACTAATCTCTTTGATGTTCAATTCGACTCACTGTTGTAACATTTCTATGTATACTATTTGTGTCCCGTGCTAGGAAACATAACTCCTCTTTTCATTCCAAAATCGAGAATACGACTAATATGATAGATTGATCTATGTATCTCTCTTTATTACTTTCTTATATTCGGATCGGTGAAATCCCACACGGACACTGGAAATATGAAGTTACAAAGAAAACAAAATGGGGAGCGGAGAATTGAATAGGTCAAAAAGATTGTGGAAAGGGATGAAGGATGGTGTGGTAGCTTTCTAAATTTCTTTTGTTCTGTTTTTGGCTTTTCCAGAAAGCTTTATTTTATTTATAATCTTTTTGTGTCTGTCAAGAAATCTTTGAACACTGCATACCAAATAATGATGATAATGATAATATGAATCTGAAGATGAAATTTTGCAGTAGATTCGCTTGTAATTTTCTCGGGAAACAAACGGAATTTCTCAAGATTTTCACGATCTTGCCGCAGGGCACTCGTGGCCCCACCCCTCCTCTTTCTCGGATGCATTTATATTAATAATTAAAATCTCTTAAAATTAAAAATTTAAAAATTGGAGGGATTAATTAGTCAAATCAAAAAAGTTTAAAAAGTGAAAATTCCATAAATTAGGGGTGATTTATGCAATTATTATTATTATTATTTGTACGAAACAAAATATGGGGCTTCTTCTTTTTTTGACCCAAAATTAGGAGTAGTGATATTTCTTTCCTTTTTAGATTTTGTAATCATCCCCAATTTCAAAGGAAGATGTCGAGCAGTGGCTGTCACGTCACCTTTTTTGTTTTTTTTTTTTTGTTTTTAAATGGATTTTATTTATTTATTTGATTTTTCTATGGGCAAATTATTTATGCTTTTTCAAAAATATTTTATTTTTTATTTTTTGTTTGTTGATTGTGGTCCAGACTAATCACATATATAACCTTTTCTAACTGAAAATTGTAAAACAATATAATTTTATTTATTAATATATCACTATAAATATTTTATTATTCTTTTTTTTAAAAAAAGCATTATCCATTAACTTGTATAGCCCAACTGGGCCCATGGGCTTATTTTGGGTGTGTAATAGCGAATCAGAAAGCCCAAAAGTATAATGGGCCGTCGTGTAATTTACTGGGCTTTGTAAGCTTGGGAAAGGAAGAGTCTGTATAGCCCAAATGAGCCCATGGGCTTAATGGAGGCACTTGAAAGATACGACTTTGAAGCGCAGAATGTAGCTGAGCTTGTCAATGGAAGCTTTCCTTCGAAAGAGGAGGAGAGGAAATTCGAGAATAATGAAATTGAAGGGGAGAGGAGGAGGAGAGGAAATTCGAGAATAATGAAATTGAAGGGGAGAGGAGGAGATCGATTTCAAAACCTAGAGTGACCATTGCGGTATCCGGTTCCATCATCGACAACGCTCGATCCCTCGAGATTGCCACTAGAGTATGCATTTTCTCCCTTATAGGCGAGTGTTTTTCGAGTTTCTCCCCCTTTCCCCTGTCCCTAGGAAGATTGTAATTCGTTATGTTTTCTCTTTGAATGATTTGATATCTTTGGTTCGAAGGTTGTGTTGATTTTTCTGCTCTCTCAATTCATTTTCGCCACGTTCAAACGAAGTGATGTGATTGACATTGTAACAACTTTCCCTTCTCCTAATGTTGTATGAACTTCTTCATAGTTGGCTGGTCAAATTGCTCGTGCAGCAACCATATTCCGAATTGACGAGGTCTCCATCTTTCTCATTTCGTTACTTGAAATTTTCTAGGACAGTCATTGGCTTCATTGAAATTGTTCAACTCAGGAATATAGTTTTTGCAAGTATCAGGTAGTGGTATTCGACAGTAGAAGGAGTTCGGTGACTGACTCGGATGTTGCGGCAGCGAACAATTCTGATGATGAGCAAAGTGGCGCTGCTTTTCTTATAAGGAATCATGAACTTGAAGTATCTTGAGACTCCACAATACTTGAGAAAAGCTCTTTTCCCAAAGCACAACAATCTAAGATTTGTGGTCCGACCTTAAATTGATTGGTTGCTTTAATCAACAAGAAGTAACATTTCCTGTTTTTCTTCTGATCTTCTTTCAATCAAAAATTTGTTATAGGGGATGTTGCCACCGCTTGATGCTCCTCACCATTTGCGCAACCATGAATGGGGTCCATATCGAGAAGGTAAATGTTAGAAGTCTCTACTAAATTCTGTCATATAATGAGGCTGAATTCTCATATAATCTGCACGTGAAACCGATGCTTGTGTTTTAAAGAAGACTGGGAACATGTTAGTTCTAACTTTGAATCAATTCAGTTCAGCGTCCAGTTGAAGAACATCACTTTTTTGGCCCTTTTTCTTCCAAACAGTTTTAGCCATATCCGCTTTCATGATTTCTCTTTGTGACAACATTATTAGGAAATTATTGTTTGCAAAAACTCTGCCGAGGAATGAAGAAGCCAAATTCTAGTGTCTGCTTGATTTCTTGGTTTCCTGCCAGCAGTCATTTCCAGTTACCATAAGCTTTGTCCATCTCTTTCTCCTACGAACTTTTCGTCTCTAACTTTATTAGCTTTCCTGGTATAGCATCAAGAAAGGTTCCCAGTGCTCTAGTTGACTATATCCCTAAGCTTCTTTTCCCCCTATGCTTCCTTCCTTTTCTCAATGCCTAAGCTTCTTTTTTTTTTTTCCCCCTTTCTTATAGTCTATTGAATATTTAATTATGTGTATCTTTCTGACTATAACTTTGGATGACTTCTGCTTCGTAATGTTGACATCCTTGGCTACTCTGTTTCTTCTCGTGCACATTACATTTTAGACCTCATTTTGTCATGTTAAACTTGGGTGTTACCCTCACACTCAAAGAACAGCTCCGAATGCTAGAGTAACACCCAGTTGATGTTGGTCTGAGTAAGGTAAGGACATATATTATTACGGCTACTAAGTTCTTTTAGTACTCGAACTGAAACAAAGTTGTCAAATTAGATTTCAGCAGATTAGATTTGAATGTTCAACTTCAGACCATGATTGTTAGAAACTGCAAAATTCATGAGCTCTCCTGGAGTCGGTTTCCCACATGGCTTGAACTTGGCAGTTGATTCATTAGCGCCCATGGTTCATTTTTTATTGTAACAAAAGGCTTAAAAAGATAGTACGTCCTGCCCCTCAGTGTTGTAATTTTAATTGTCATGGAAATTGGGGCCGCTTAAATTCATGTTTGTGTGATTTTCTAGGCCTTCTGAATATGGACAAGATTTAAATACACATCAAATATTGTATTTGGGAGATCTAATGTGTATTTTCTCATCAAATATAGTATATTTGTTCATTGCTACTATAATATCTCTAAAACGTTGTAACAAACGTATTTGTCTCTTTTGCTCCATTGGCCACCATGAAGCATTTATATGGGAATTTAATTGGTACCTAAATTCTGATGTACATACTTTGTAATTGACACAGGCTGTATATGTCAAAATGAAATGGAAAATAGAAAAGCTTGCTCATGTTGTGCAGGAAGTGGTGGCAAAAGGACACTCAAAGTCGAAATGAAATGGAAAGTGAAGAAGAATACGCAGGGATGAAAAATTGAGACAACGGTACCGTGATGGCAGCACAGAGGTGGAGGAGACGACAAAATGTAAGAAATCGAAAAGAACATAACTATCTGCTTTATTTTAACAAGTTTTATGGTAACTTGAAGTACAGGTAATAGAACATCCACTCCAATCAATATAAACAAGCTTTCCAAGCTAATCTCCACTGAGTTGGGAGGAAGATCCATCCTTCATCCATTCCTCTGAAAAAGGGAGGCAATGAAAGGGATATAGAGATGCGGTTCATGGCAAAAGTTCCTATCATCAGTGGTCACACGAACACAGCAGAGTGCCTAAGCAAAGACCAAATAAAACCTACGGCTACAGACCATCTAGCACGTACCATGCTGGTTGCTTAAATTAGATAAAAATCCCAAACTAAAACAACAGATTCCTCTCTTCAAACACTAAAGTTTAAGAGAAACATCTTGCAAATGGCCTAAACCAACCTCTAGTTCTCTTGATCAACTTCAAGGTTCTTTAGTTTTGATCCCAATTCATCCTCATCGTTCTCGTCTGCTACGGGATCCTTATCCTCGTCCTCGTCCTCGTCCCCATCCCCATCTACCCCCTCGGGATCATTTCCATCCAAGGGCCCAAGCATATTCGGATGTTTCTTGAAAATGTCTTTCACCTCATCAATGCCTTCATCAGAAATGAAATTTCCATTGATGTTCAGCAACACAAAACCAGGCTTCTGAACCACAGTCTGAGCTAAAACCCGAGCCCCTGCCCGCCTTATTAAGTTAGTACTCATATCAACTTCTTTTATTTTGATGTGACCTAGTGCCTTACTGATCAGGATAGTTCCTTCATCCTTCAGTTCATTCTCGGCCAGATTCAAGCTGGTAAGATGGGATTTTTTAGCTATTCCAGCAGCTAATACAGAAGCAGCTTCAGCTGTTATGTCATTACCAGCCATTTCCAAGACTTCTAGTGCAGGAGCTGTGTCCTTTAGTGCATTAGCTATGGCAATTGCACCTTCATCTTCCAAGTTCAGGTAGCTCAAATACAACTCCTTGAGATCTACATGGTATGCAAGGGACTTACTCAGAGCAAATCCACCTTCCACTCCAAGCATGTTGTCTTGAAGATCAAGTTTCTTCAAGTTGGTACAAGTTTCGAGTGCTATACATAAGGCAACTCCCCCTTCAGAGTCTATCCGTGAAGAGGAGCAGCGGAAATCTTCCAATAGAGGAGAACGCTTCACGATTTCAGCGATGGAAAGAGCACCTTCATCGCCTGTCATGTTATTATGAAATTGAAGGACTCTAAGCTTATCCGTTGAAGGAATCAACTCGGACACTGCCTGAGCAGCTTCCTTGGAAATGCCATCATTCATCAAGTATAGCTCCTCTAACCAAGTCTGTGATTTCAGGAGAGAGCCAAAAGCTCTAACACCTTTCTCACCTAAGGCGTTGTTTGAGAGGTTCAGAGACCTCAAGATACTGCCTTCTAAAGCATCTGAGAACAATTTCATGACTTCTAGAGCTTCTGACTCTGTTCTTCCTGCAATAAAATCAGAGAGGTCCACTTCTTTTAACTGATTCTTGAGGGATACAAGAATGGGCTCAGTAACACGAGCTGCATCTAAACCAAAGCTTCTGTTGCTAAAACATATCTTGGTATAAGAATTCCCTGGCTCTTTCAAAGGCTTTAGTAGTTCTTCAGCTTCCTCTGCCTCAAAAAACCCCCGTCGACCTTTTGAGATGTCGAAAAAGGTTTCACGTGGAGCACTAGTGATATCAGATCCAACCTCCTCCTTGTCTGCCTCGACTCTAGGACCTCTCTTCAGAACCTCGAGAAGAAGCCTGCTACACTCCTTGGCATAAAGTTGCACAGCAGCACTTCCATCACCATCAGGCTGGTTTTCATAGTTCTGATTAGCTGTAGCAAAAGCAATGTCTTCAATTCTCTTCGACTCATCCGTGGCCTCTTCCCGACTAAGAGTACCATACTTCTGGGTGAAAAAGGATTTGCTGGTAAGGTTAGATGTCATCCGTTCCACAAGCATATTCCGGGTATTGTCACTAGGAGGCCACAATTTGATCGACAATGGTCTACATTCCAAATTTGTGTTTAGAAAGTCCATTATCAGAAGTGCTCAAATCCAGCCACCTACAGTGAATAGAATAGAAATAAACTTAACAGAAGTGTCTAGTTCTTCAGAAAATCATAGTCACTAGGTAATAGAGACAAGTTAGGACACACAAAGCCATGAGCTAAAAAATCATTAGTACCCAAACATATTACAATATCAGCAAAGAAACAGAGCTAAAACATATTTCCAATCTCCACTAAGCAATCATCCAACCATTCTTCTAGTCCAATAAGAAGTAGAAACAAAAAGGATACAGATAGGAAGAAGAATTCCATATCCAGCTCTGCCTAAAACTTTTCCCTTCTGAACTATCTCTGTGTTCACCTAAATAACAGAGGGTAGTCCACCAACAAGATAGAGTGACAAAAAAAAAACATTACCAGAAGCCCATTTTTCTTAAAATTAACCCCAGAAGATAAAAACACAAATTAGCAACAACTATTATGGATCCAACACAAAACAAAGCTTCAAACACTTAAAAAAACGAGGTTCGAAAGAAAATGGAAGCAAACCCACAAACGCAAACAAGCAACAAAAGGAGGGAATGAAGAAAACCCTGTAATGAAAAGCAAACAGAGCAACAAGAAAAGAGAAAAGAAGTGTTGTTCACCTGCTGGAGATGTATGGAGGATGTCAGCGAGTGACTGAAGAAGACGAGAGAAGAGGATAGAAGGAAAAAATCTAAACTAGAAGAGAGGGAAAGTTAAAAAGGGAGACGTGGAAATGGTAAAATATTGATTATAATTGTCGGGGCGAAGGCCAATGGTGGAGGTTTCGAGGAGGGCTAGCGTTTGCGTCCAATTGGCGGAAGCCGAACAGAGAAGTTTTGCAAATTTGAAGTTTCAGGCAGAGGATGGCCCCTGCCGCCAGGTTTCGATTTTTGCAAAGTCGCTTTCAAAGCCTCGACTTTCAGCTCTTTTTCTTTTTAATCATCTAAAAATATATTCTCTCGTTATTATGGGAGTAGGAAAAAATATGATTTCTAACCATTTAAACTATCCGGGTGAGATCTAAAGTCGGTTAGAGAGGGAACGAAACATGTTTTATAAGGTGTGGAAACTTCTTCCTAACATGTGTTTTAAAATCTTTGAGTGAAGCCTCCAAAGAGGAGACTTAAAAAACACAATATATGCTTAACATGTGTTTTAAAATCTTTGAGTGAAGCCCCCAAAGAGAAGACTTAAAAAATACAATATATGCTAACGGTGAGATTGAGCTATTACAAATAATATAAGAGTCAAGACACCGAATGATGGGTCAAAAAGGACACTAGACTCCAAGGAGATGGATTGTGAGATCGATTGGAGAGGGAAACATCATTCTTTATAAAGGTGTGTAAACCTCTTCCTAACAGACACACTCACTTTTTAAAATCTTGAGGAAAAGTTTGAAAGTCCAAGGACGATATGACTTTGACAGTTACAATCTCACAATCATTTTTTAACAAAATTATGAGTTTTAGCATTTTAAATTATGCATTTTAATTCAGTCTTATATTTAAATAATTTACCACCGATAAAAAATGATATTTTGATACAAATTATTTGAGTATCAATAATTTTCATAATCATTTCACATGTCACATCAAAGCATGAATAAAATTGCTTTAAGGTAAACATTTATACATAGTTTTGATTTATTAATGAATGTGTAGTACTTCAAAGAAATAGTTGGAAGTATGTTTGGAATCATTAAAAGCGTGTCATTTATATATAGAGAAAAAAAAAAGGCAATCATACGGAAATGGGCCCATGGTGCTCCAAGGAAATATACGAATTATGGTTAAAATGAAGAAATAATGTAGGAATCACGTGGAATTTAATCTGACAAATGAAATTGTAACATGCATTCCATAGTTTTATTTAAAGTAAAATTACTAACAAAACCACACTTAAAGTAAATCAATTAGAAAGTTAATAAACGGGTTTTGATCTTAATTACCTAATTGCAGTCAAGTCTGTTAAAGGACTTCACACAGTAAAAGTAATAAATAAATAAATAATATAACGAAATCAAAATTATTTCAAAAGATTAACCCAGTCCAAAAAAACCTGTTGAACCCCTGAAATTGATATAACCGGTGGTCAAATTTACAGTGTTCTCCAACTGAATTGTGTCTTCACAAGAGCTTAGTCATTTGGGAAGATGCATCAATTCATAAAATAAATGCAATGCGTTTCAAGGATAAGGTCGATGTGAGGAATGAGGTCATTCTATCTAGCAATGCTATTACTAAAGACTTTATACAAAGATCAAAACCCTAAACTCATTAGAAGAAAAAAGAAAAGCCAAAGGATCATGAGCCATCAAACAAATTAACTAATTCGAACCTCATTCTAGCTTGCTCGGTTGCAGCAACCAAATCTACCACTATCTGTACATCCTGTTTTTTTAGTTAGAGATGATGAATAAGTGCACGGTCCAGCCATCTACAACCGTGAGCCATGGAGGTTAGGCTTGGTCAGGGCTTTTGTAAAATAGTTGCGGATCTCGGGAAGTATGCGCTGAATTAGATGAGAGTGCCTGCAAATATTGGAATGAAGCATTGGCTTAGAAAAGGCAGGAGAAACCAAAATTTTCTATCCATGGCCTCTTTAGGTGAATCTCCAAATGATCCATACGACTTTAACT